ATAACGCGTTTTGATCGAGACGTCCAACAAGGACGTAAACCTTTTATTATGGTTGATAGGGTATAGACATATTCATTGACATAAAAATTTCAATTATGCATGAACAATTAGATATCGAAAAGCTAATGACAAAAAACCACTACTGCATTTGCTTGCTTAGAAATATTAGTCAGATCGTGTGATTTGGTTTTTCTTTAAGATAATCTGATTTAGAAAATTACTACAGTTAGTAAAACCTATTACTATACATATTAGAAGAATTGTACAATTAATTATTAAAAAATTCTCTGATAAAGAATAAGTCAAACAATATGAAACCCTAAGGTGTTTGAAAATGCTGCATATATAGTTTTCGAACCTTTTTTACCGGCTGGAGATCAGGCTTAAAACTTATTCTAATAAATAAGAAAATATGATAAAAACTTTGTGTTTCAAATATATAAATATAAACAATAAATTATACAAACATCAAATTGAAAAAGATTCTATTCGATAACTTACTTTTACCCTACATCCAAAAAATAATTTATCAACTTCTAGGAATTATTTAAAATATTTTGTTAGACAATATTTACCAGTATTTCATGTAAGCATTTAATCAACATATTGAAGAAAATTTATTATACAGAATGCAGCAATACTCATTCATAGTAATCAGAAATGTACATCTTCCACAATTTACATGTGTAAGCAGAAAACAATAAAAACTCTGGATCACGAATTCAGAGTTGAATATAAGGGCACATATAACGACTTCCAAGAATTGGTTACACCAGCACTGCTGCGTATATGCCGACTACTATACAATTTATGCGGAATCCTAAAATAGTTCCCTTGAAAATGAACTCTGGTGGTTACGCTATGAGTTCAGTTGCTGTACATTTATATTATTTTGACAGAAAAATCGTGTAGAAAGTCTAAAGTTACATCAACAATCACAAATGTGTACTATACTTGCGAAATTAAAACAACTGAAATGTAGTTTTAAGTACAAAATAATATCGCTATACTCGTATACATGTAGCAAAAACTTGAGAACTTATTTTATACCGGAAATTATCTTAATGCTTATTTACTGATTTTCACAAAATGCAAAACTTTGAACACTAACTAAATTATATTTATTGACTGAACAATAATTGAAATAATTGGCAGAAATTGAATAATCATCTTTAACATGATCCCGAACCTGATCTGAATGTGTTTGCAGTGTAAAAGAAGATATAAGAATAATATCACAAACCAATAAAAAAGATTTGTCACCATCGATCAATGCGCCCCAAAAAATAGATCGTTTGACATTGACAGTGACATGATTAGGCCGTTCCTGTTCGAAAATAAACACAATTGGAATGTTACCGTCAAAAGCGACAGGTACAGCGCTAATTGGCCATTTATTAGTAATCTTGTTCCGGACGGGTTTTAGTTTTAAGAAGACTGTTTTAAACATTTATTATTAAAAATAATAGAGTTATTATTTTTTATAATAAACAATTGAAAATTCTATAAAGATTAAGTTTACCTTTAAACCAACTTGATCAAAAAGTTTCTAGAATTATAGTCAGATAGCTCTGTAGAGTATTACCGCTAGTGAAAGAGACGTGGATTTATGAGTAAGACACCTAATTCAGGCATCAGGTAAGTGAAAGCAGTTCACCGGAAGGGAAGGTCGACAAAACCACGTCTTTTTAAATCGAATAAATGGGTTAACGGTGCTGTGTATCATGAAGTCTTGCCAGAAAATCTGATAATCAAAGTCAACGAATTTATTATTCGATTGTTGTAAAGCAATTCCCTTAAGGAAAATCTGATTTTTTGGCAAACAATTTATAGATTTTGCACTATGATACCGTACCTTAACACTCTGCCGTCCTCTTCGCAATGAATAATATACCAATAATGAATATCATTGAATAGCTACCGAATTCACATGATTTGGTTTTCTATGAATTTTTCCTGTTTAAACGAATCAAGAAATTACTACAAGGAACCCATTTTAACAATAGAGAAGTGGTAATAATAAGAAAAAAGTTTATAATGATTATATAAAATATCTCGAGCTTTGGATTAAGTACTGGATTGATTCAAGTACTCTATGAGAAGTAATATAAACGGGACACTATCGATTATCAGCAATAAATTTGTATTTTCAAATTTCTGAATAAGTTTTAGAATCTTTTTGATCAATGTAGTATATGAATGCTAGCTAGGAGTAATAATTCTTTCGAAATAGTAGCAATAAAGTTTCAAAAAAAATATAAATGTTCTCTTTACACCTTTATGTCTGGTAAAATTAAAAATAATATTATTGCAAAAACATTTTAATATAAATTTTTGTATGTGATTTTTAAAAATTTAGAATTATAATTACACATCGGTCATTTGTTTCTGATATAAAAAATATGAATATCAATTTGACAATTTAATTAAAAATTTTTGGGGCACTACATCGGTATAGGTGAAAATTATGACACAATTTTATTTGAAAATTTAATGGTGCATACACAAAATTTTTTCATAAAGTATAATGACCTTCTCAAAATTTGCTCAATGCCATTTATTAAAAATAGACAAATATTATATTTTAATTTTTGTAAATGATGCATTTTTTTTTAAAGAAAAAATCTGCAGTACAAAATATATGACATCCACGTGTATAAATAAAAAAACAATTTTATGATTATTTTATTTATTATAATAACAATTTCAGTAAAAACTCGATTGAGTTGATACTAATCTACAAGTAACTTTTCTTAAAAGAAGTTCAATTCACATTCACATTTTATTTGAAGTCATCAATTTAATGAGTTAAGACCTACTTAATTCAGAATTTGGGTTACTGAATCTAAACTGATTTAGAATTAGAATCAGACAATTATTAGAATTGTGTGATACTATCAAATCTTTACAGAATTTTAATAACGTACACAATTTTACAGATATAGAAATTCAAAATTCCAAAAAAATCAATTCCGATTGCCATATATTTTATACCAAATTTCTTACTAAATTATTTAATTTAGATATTTGGCATTTGAAAATAAATTAAAGTCATAAAAAAGTGATGTCACATATAAGAAAACGTCTAAAAAAAAATATTTCAGTCAATATCCCAAAAACCAGATGAGGTGCAATAAGCTGATAATAGATTTGGCATCAGCTGTCCAATTCATTAAACAGTAAAACAATTCATTAATTCTCATTAGCTATTCAAATTAAAAACCTTGTTGGCTAGTGTAATTATATTTTGGACCATATAATTGGTTTTTTATATATATGCAATAATTCAAATCTATCAATAAGCAAGGTTTATCTCCCACACAAAGAACATAAAGATCAAACAAAGAACCGATTTCTATTTCCTAGGCTTTGGAATTTGAAAACCAATTTTAGTAAATTTCATAGCACACAATAGATCTTTTAGGTCAGAGTGCATTCATTCATAGCTTATTATTTAATAATAATAGTAAACTTTATTATTCATTATTATTATGTTGATATAGCTTGGTTATCGAAAAATTGGGCAAAGTACAGCGGATCGGATATTATACAATAATTTTATATGTTATAATATAAAAATTATATAAAAAAATTCCAACTAAATTGAAATATATACATAAATATTTATTAATTTTGTGCTGTACAGTTCAAATATATATATAAATTATATATATTATTTATTATTTATATATTTATTTAAATTCGTATATATAATTAAAAATTTAATGTAACTACAGTCAAATGCATGAGTACCCAGTGCTGAGAAATTCAATTTATTCATTATATATTATAAGCAAATTTTATTTATAAATAAATAGACTTAATAATATGTAAAAAAAAGGTTAATAATTTATTTAAAGTTATAAAAAAAATTTGATATGTTTGTAAATATGTTTGCAAATCAAGAAACTTTTTAAAAAAGAAAATTAAGTTTTTTTTATATATAAGAAAATTCGCAGTTTTAAAAATCAAGAGACTAAAAATTTAAGAAAAAAAATTAAAATTGTTCTATTATATTAAACATTTTTTTTAAATAAAAAAATTAAAAATTGTTTGTTAATAAAAAAATTAAAAATTGTTTTAAAAAAGAAAATTAAAATGTTTTCTATATAAAGACAATAAACAGTTCTTTAAATAAAGAAGAAAATTGAAATTTTTTTTTTTTATAAAGAATTTAAATATTTACATTTTTGTATAAAGAAAAAAAAATTATTTATTATACATTAAACACTTTTTCAAAAATAAAGAAATTAATAGTTATTAATTAAAATTTTAAAATAAATTAAACATTTATTCAAAAATAAAATAAAAAATTTTTTAAATATGTAAATATTACATTGATTTATAAAAAAAAAAAGAAAATTCAAAATTGTTTAATATAACACTTTTTCAAAAATAAAAAAATTAATAAGTAAAAATATTTTTATAATATTTTCTTTTGATTACCGTTCTGTACCGTAAAAAATTAAGCATATAATTTTTAAGATTAATTTTTGTGCTTACCTGCCGGGAAGAAATTATTCAAGAACGTTGACATTTTTAATGCAACACTTGTATTTGGTGCTGCTTTATATGCTGTTGCTGCCTTTTAAGTGTTGTTGTCTTTTTCAATTTTGCTACTGTCACTTAGTTAACAGTGTTGTTGTTGTTGTTGTTGTTGTTGTTGCTGCTGCTGTTGTGTTGGTTCGTTTTTATTTTGTTATGAGGTTTAATGCTTCTTTCATTTACAACTACATTATTTGCGAGAGTAGAAGTGGAATGTGAATCCATTTATTTGGTTCCACACTCTATATTCTCTCTTTTTTTATACTAAATACTTCTTTAACAGCGACTATGGCGCTCCACACTTCACTTTTCTGTTTTGTATTTTTTGTTATTTTGTTATAATTTGTATTTTATTATTTTTTTTATTGCCACAACACTTTAACTTATATACTTTTTTTTTAATAACTTAAAAATTAATTGCTAAACAAATACAAAACACGAATTATGAATAATAAAAAAGATACGAAACAAAACAAAACATAAGTTTGGAATTAAAGAGAAATCAAATTAACATATACAACAATTCAAAAAAAAATATAATTTTTGGATTTGGATTTTAGCAATTTTGCATTATTCCATGCTATTGTTTTTGTTGTTAGCATTTGTGTGACTCTACACTTTAAAAACAAAGGGCCAACAAACAAGTTCGTGTTACTGTCTGCTTGCTTGCTTGCTTGACTCGCTCTCTTTACAGATGTTGTGTGAACGCTGCTGGAGGGACTTTTCTTGCTTGACTTTAGATAAATTAAAACACACAAATATTATATTAATAACGATGAAAACAAAAATAATTTTTTAAACTTTTTTTTCTTTCTTTGCAAATAAAATTTTATATATTTTTTCTTTTTGTAATTTGTAGGCGCACGGTAAAATTAGCAAGCAAAATATCCGTATACATACGAATTGTTTGTGCATTGCTTTTACCATAAAACCCACCTTTTCTGCTGTCTTTACGGTTGACTTTCTTTGACTTTAGCCAATATCATTTTTATTTTAATTTGTGGGATTTAGACTTTAAAAGGCACACACACACACACATACGAATATACACACACAAACATTCACTTATAAGAGAAACTTACACGTTAACTTTATTTTCGATTTTTATTTAGTCTTCAAATTTCGTTAATTTTTGGTGCTCACTGATTTTTTTACATTACAGTTAATGTTTACATATTGCGAAGTGCTAAAAACAAAAGTAAAGAAAAATAAGATCAGTTATATATTACACAAATAAATTTTTTCAATTATTTATTGCTATAATATATATATTTATATATGTAAATAAAATAATATTAATTGCATAAAAATCTAAAAATAAATCATTTACATTTGATTGCGCGCTTTAGAGCCATATACATCTTTATATGTATATAAGTTTTATCCGCGACAGCAGACGCACGTACACCACTTTCTCTGATATGAAACTGCACTGCAAGGGATTCAATTCAAATTCGTACAAACTTCAATATAACCGAAAATGTCCAACAAATACATTGATAGAAGAGAAGAATATAAAGGGTATCCAGCAGACTAAAAAAGTCCACAGATTCCACAAACGGTTGGCACCCATGAGAGCGTAAAAAATGAAGTCAAAAGAAAAACATACGCGAACGTATGTGAAAATAAAGTGAAGTCGTCGCAGCAACGCTCCTAAGGGTTGCAACTTTGTTTTTTTTTAAATATCCTGTGAGAAAAAAAAAATTCAGATAATACGACGTGCTGTGCTAGTCAGGTAGCCACAGATTTTATAATTGTTTATTGTTGTTGCTTTTTTACTTTTACTTGGATTGAGTGATTAGGCTTATGAGAATTTATGTATGGAATATTTTATGTTGTCATGGGAAGAACCAAAATTGAAGTCTTTTTTTTAGATCCTTATCATTGTTGATATCCTGAAAAAATAATTTTTTTTTGTCGGTAATGAAGGTTAAGCGTATGTGTTTGACGTTAGAATAAGGTACTATGGGTCTGGGTCTAGATATCGTGATAAAATGTATCCTATATCATTGGAACAATCATATTAGAATAAACATCTAATAAATCTTATTTTTAGAGAAAAACATTCAACAATGTTTCTAACTGTATAGAAGATTCTTTGTATCACAATAGGTTAATTATAAGGACCCTAGTTTTGTTCGTTCAGTTATTCAATTGAAAAATTACAACACAAGAAAAACATTTATCAATTCTAATTTTAATTTTCCATAATTTTTAAATATTTAAGACTATATCTTAGGATTGTGACAATTTATGTGTGCTTTCAAGGTTGGAGACGTCATAGATTTGTGCGTATATACAAAGAATATCAATTATTTTCACAAAAATGCCCTATTAGTAGTAAATTACATGAATTGAGAAGTCATTATACAGATATATTCTTGAAGATAATACCATTTCGTATACATGGTTAATAACTTGATGATTTTTGTGATAACACAACAAGTAACAATTTTTCGAAGGAACCGTAAGCCGTACAGAGCTTACATATTCACCTAAAAACAGAAAAATAAATCATTTCTATATTCTGGACGTTTTGATTGTAGATTCCGATTTTTTCACTGGTTGCCACAATAGTAAGAAATTATAAGTGAATAAAAAAAATGTCAATTGCTTGGATATAAATATATATGACCATATATAAGTACTATATCATTAATAATATATATAATATAATATATCATAAATAATATATATAATATAATATATCATAAATAATATATATAATATAATATATTATAAATAATATATATAATATATCATAAATAATATATATAATTTAGTATATCATAAATAATATATATAATATAATATATCATAAATAATATATAAAATATAGTATATCATAAATAATATATATAATATAATATATCATAAATAATATATATAATATAATATATCATAAATAATACATATAATATAAAACATCACAAATTTACTTCTTATTTAACATTTTTCTTATCCTTACTGCAGATTTTCTTTTTGCATTTTTCACAAGAAGTAGTATCAAAACAATACAATATGTAAAATTAATAGCTTTGTGTATATAAAACTTATGTATACACTCATTTTTAAACACAAATTCCAATAGAATCCACAAACAAAATTACATCCCAATGTTATTCTGTTGTTTATATTTATTTTACTGCACAAAAAAAACTAAATAAAACAAAATGAAAATGAAACAAACACAGCTGTAACTAATGTTGAGCTAATGATGGATTATATGCTTCACAAATTCTTTTTTACTGCTAAAAATTTTCTCTTTGCGAAGTATTTTAATACGCAGATTCAATAAAATATTGATAGAGACTACCATTTTTTGTTATAAAAATTTAATTAACGAACCTATCATAATAAAACATATTGGAGGCTAAGATAATTAAATTGAATAAAATAATAAATTATTAAGATTGGTTATTAGTGAATATGTAAAAAACAAGAAAAATTTAAAGCAACTTACACAACAAGTGTGTCTGTATTGCAGGTGTTTTGTTTGTATATGAAGAAGTTGTCCTTAAAGGATAACCGAAAAGCAAGAATGTAGATTAAATCTGAGGAGAGCACAATACGTGCAAGGAATGTTGACTTAGCTATGTATAGCAGCCATTAAAGGCAGAAATGATGGAAGGAGTACTACATGAGCGCGCATTTCGCACTGTTGTTGTTTTTGTTCATGCTGCTTTCTGCTTTTAATTAAAGAAAACCGTAAATTATGCACATTTAATATAAAATATCACACTTAAATAATATATACATGCTATATGTATATAGTGAATAATTAAAAATATATTTGTCTTATTTTTATTAAAATTAATTTTATACTGTTATCTTTTTGCACATAATTTTATTTTAAATGCTGCAGTGGAGGTATGGATATAGATTTATTTTTACATTCAATGAATAATTTATACATGGAAAAATTTAATTTCTTATTAGAATATAATATTCATTGATTTGAGGGAAAAATAAATCATAACAATGAATTTAATCAAAGCAGACAATATATTAATTTTAGATAATAATTCAGATGTTAACATTATATAGCCAAAACTTTAAAGAAACAGTTATTATAAACTAATATATAAAACTCACTGCTTAAAAATACAAATACTCTTTTTAAATAAATTTTATGTGCGTCTCAAACACAACGAAAACTCAACTACGACGCAATTTTAACCAACGGAGTGTGTGTGATGTGGGGCGCTAGGAAAGCACTCAAGCGTACATACGTCTCGTTTTCATGAAGAAACCGGCTTCGCTTAATTATGTAAATTCTGCACCAAAGTACGAAACATTTTGCTTATTTTAATAATTTCTTCTTATTTGACGAATAACAATTCATTATTAACAATTTTATTTAAATAATTCAAACATTTATCATTAACAAAGTGAAAACAGTAAATTTCCACTTTAACGCAAGCACACACTCAGGCATACACAAATGCAGATGCCAAACAAACGAAAAGCATTCTGTGCACTAAACAAAAGTCCATGTATTTTAAATATATTCCACACAAAAATTTATTAAAACTTTTAAGCATTTATAAATGTAAATAAATAAATAAAGTTTTTTTTGCAATAATTAATTAAACATGTCATGCATGTTGTGTTTAAATGGGTTTTGTATGTTGCTTTGGCATTGTCTTTCATTGCCAAAATGCGAAATCACATACGTTTTTTCATATTCCATTTATGTTTATTTTTGCATAGTCCATTCATACACATTTCGTTTTTTACAATTATACTGCATTTAGATAAACTTATTTTAAATATATATTTATTAAATATTATAAATTTATTTACTTTCATATGAGGCAAATTCATATTTAGCCTCTCACCTATTAAACATACAACCAGCACTGAGCAAAAAACTTTTACCAACTGAGAAATTATATAGCTGTCTCAAGTCGCCGTTAGTTTGCTATTGTTTTTGTTATTCATTTTGTGATTTATATTCTTATAAGTTTCAGTGTTGGGAAAGAAATTTTAAACATCTGTGAAATAAAATCTTTTATTTATATATTTTTATATATAGAATTTTTATTGAGATAATAATATATATTGTAAAATATTTATATATATATATATATATATATTGGAATTCAAAAAGTTATTGATGTTATAACTATATAAGTCACCAAAAATACAACACAGAATTATATAAGCATTGTAATCGAACAGCGCAACAGCTGCTTTCTGGTCCTATGGCTTCCAGATTACAACAAAAGGCGTTCATAGCTTAATGTGACAGTTTATTCACAATGCATCTAAATATCTTTTTTTCCCTTCTTGTTTTTTATATGTTTATTGCATACAATACAAATAGTCAATTTGTAGTAAAAAATATACAATTTTTTAATAAAATAATAATACAATAATAATAATTAAAGAAAAAAAATAATATTTATGTTTAAGGTGTTTTTTTAGCTACATAAGAACTTAAAATGATAACACAGAAATATTGTTGGAATAAAATTTTTCTTATAATAATCTGGTAGATAATTTGATGACATTTATTTTTTAGTACATGGGCCATTCAATCAGTCTAATTTTTGATTATTTTTTGTAATAAATGTGGCCGTATGGCGTTGTTGTTTTGTTAGCATAAATTAATAACTTGACTTAGCCCCAAAGTGATTGAGAGGCGTAAAATCGCACGAACGAGGAGGTCAGTTAACAGGATCATTACTTGAATTAAACTTGTTTATGTTACCAAATTGAGTTCGCAATAAATCATTTGTTGGCAAGTAGAGTTCTTCTTCTTCTTGTTGAAACCAAATGTCGTCGATGGTTAACTGATTAATTTTAGGAAACAAAAATTCAGTTAGCATAGATCGATAGCACTCTTAACGGCAGATCCTTTCTCATTTCGAAAGAAATAAGGACCGATGATACTGGCTGCGTGTAAACCGAACTAAAGAGTCAATTGATAATGGTTTTAAATCGAGAAGAGTAAAATTCGTGCGTAAACGATCAATAACTGCATGATCAATAACTGCTTGCTTATTAGCCCGATTATATTCACCGTAAAATGGACAAAGTGGTCTATGAACTTCGCGAACTGATTTATTTTTTCAATGTAAATTTCCACAATTCAGAAGCATTGTTCTAGTTTTATATGATTCATGATGAATTGTCAAACCTTACTGAACAGAAATATCAACACAGTTTGACATCTGCCAAACTTTAGCTATCGAAAAGATATTTCTTATGCAGGTTAAAAACACCCTATATATATACTCCTTAGGTACACTCATGATTTTTGAACTTTATTAACAAATAATTTATTAATTTTTATGTGAAAAACGTCTATATTATTTAACATTCTATTTAATTAATAGAGTAAACCATATGTTTATTCTCGAATTGTAAAATAAAAGTTCGAAATTTTTCGTGCGAAACGGTTGTTACTACGCTTAATATTGATTACTTGGTAAATCAGTAAGGTTTTGCCTACAAAAATGGAAGATTGTTTAAATATTATCATTATATTGTGTTCGTTTTTCAACACTTAGAACATCAGGAGCATTTAGACGTTGCTCGGTAACCCGATATTCGGTGCAATGATAAAAT